CCACTAGCCCCTCTGGGGACAGAGGGAAGGAGGCTCAGGCTCAGCCAAGCCTAGGTCCAGGGTGGTGGTCCGGGGGCTGAACTTGCAGAAATCAAACCCTCAGAGAACAGCCAAGTCCCATTTCCGGGGTCAGCTTGTCCTGGGACAATGAGGCTGGGGCCGCCACGGCTAGTGGAGTTGAAGTCTGGCTGGGCCCGGGTGTCCCCGCCTGTCTTGATGAGAGGAAGGGGCTGGCATCAGGATGCCACAGATTATACCTGAACGTGGTGCCTGTCCCCAGACTGCGCTCCTCAAATCTGTCCTCCCGTTCCCAGGCCTGGCCAGGATCCCTCTCGGAACTGGACTCCCTAAGGATCCTCCCAGCCTTTGTTGTTAGGAATGTGGGCAGATCCACCCAGCTTCACCCCAAGGCAAAGGTCTGGTCAATGTCTCTGAGCCTCAGCTCCCCGTCTGTAAGCTCGTGGGGTGGTTCCTCCTCTCTGTTCAGATGGTGGCCCTGGACCTGAGCTGCTGTGGGGCCATGTGCATCTTCAGCTCCAGGTGATTGTGTGGGGGCAGCACTCTGACAGTGTGAAGGGTCCATGAAGATATTGCATTTGACACATGGCAGGGAGCTTAGCCCTCATTTCCAACGACAGATTGAGTATCAGGGCTGCGACTTCAATGTAGGTCTTCAGAACCTAAGCTGCCTTGCCTTGCGAAGGCATCTGGGTGGGGTGGGGTGAGGCAGCGGGGGTCCAAGGAGGAAGGATAGGATCCTCCAGCCTTGGAAGATGCGGCTGCCTGGCAGTAGCAAACCCTGTGGCCATGGTGCTCCCCTACCCGCGGCTCACCTCCACCTGCTGTTGAGTTTCTCATCCTTGTGGGTTCTGACAGTTCCTCCTGGGGTCCCTGAGGGTCCTGTGGGCTCAGCCATGCTGACAGTGACGAGGGTTGGTCCCCAAGTCGACCCCCTGCTGTCACCCTGGCACTCAGTAGGTGCTGCTAAAATTCATTAAAAAGTATGGGCTTTCCAGGTGGCAGGCACAATGGTAAAGAATCCACCTGCCAAGCAGGAGACGTGGATTTGATCCCTGGGTCGGGAAGATCCCCTGGAGGAGGGCATGGCAACCCATTCCAGTATTCTTGCCTGGAGAATCCCATGGACAGAGGAGCCCAATGGGCTATATATAGTCCACAGGGTCGCAAAGAGTTGGACATGACTGAAGTGATTTCACACACACACACACACACACACACACACACACACACACACGCCCTGCCTGCTAGTGTTTGAGCTCTATGAGAGCAAGGGTCATCAAATTGTTCATTAACGTATCCCATGTGTCTGTAATATTAATAGTTTCCTTCGTGTAGTAGGTGCTCAGCAAACACTAGTCAAATAGATGAATCTATCTGAGCCACTGATGGGCTTCCCAGGTAATGAATCCATCTGCTGATGCAGGAGACCTGGGTTCAATCCCGAGTTGGGAAGATCCCCTGGAGAAGGAAGTGGCAACCCACTCCAGTATTCTTGCCTGGAGAATCCCCTGGACAGAGGAGCCTGGTGGGCTACAGTCCATGGGGTCGCAAGGAGTCAGATACGACTGAGCACGTGTGAGCCACCGCATGGAGCTTTTACATTTTCCTTTTCCACGTGTCCCACAGGTCTGTTTTCCTATATGCCTGCTCTTCCTACACATGGTTCCTCTTTCTTGTAGAGGAAAGCAAACGTCCTGATAGGAAGCCTCAGTCTGTGGCTCCCGAGCTCCATTTCCACAGCTGTGCTGTGACTGTCACCTGTGGTCTTCCTCACCTGTGGGGGAATTCTCTTGTGGGGGGTTGAGTGACAGCAGGAGGAGTGGGGGGCTCCTGGAGGTATCCCTGACCACCACCCACCCGGGGGAGGGATGGGGACCCACAGGTGCTCCACCATGCTGCCCCGTCCCTTTGCTCTGGGTGCCCATCCTGCCACGGGGATGTGCCCAGTGCTACCCCATGCCACCCAGAACCCCCAGTCCCAGGCTTCTCTATGGTAACCCTGTCTTTCCAGCATCCTATGAGCCTGGGGGCCACTAGGAGCACCCTTCTCAGTTTGGGTGCTCTGAGCACCTTTGTTTTTAGCTTTGAGTGCCTTTGTTGTGAAGCCTTTTCTTTTTTCTGTCTGAGGATGCACTGCCCTAGACATCCCTTCTGGATCCTGAGCGCTTCCCCTGAGGGCCTCCCCACAAATAACTCTCACGTCTCACTTGGCCTGACATTTATTTGTCTCTTTCCTCTTCATTCAACAAGTTTATGGAGCGCCTTCTAAGTGAGGGTGTGTCGGTGGCAACAGGGGAGGCGATGGTGCTGGAGGCGGGCTTGTGCCTTGCTCCCAGGGAGCCCAGGCCTGGGTGGGAGCTTAGTTGTCGCCCGTCTGAAGGGCTGGTACACTGGGAGGTGCAGTGTTGGAAACTGCGGGGCGCTGTGGGCTCTGATTTGCCTGGCGGCTTGGGAAAGCTTAGGGCTTGGTGGCTCAGATATTAAAGCATCTGCCTGCATTGCGGGAGACCCGGGTTCGATCCCTGGGTCAGGAAGATCCCCTGGAGAAAGAAATGGCAACCTGCTCCAGTATTCTTGCCTGGAAAATTCCAGGGACAGAGGAGCCTGGCGGGCTACCATCCGTGGGGTCACAAAGAGTCGGACACGACTGAGCGAATTCACTTTCTTTTCTTTCTTTCTTTGGGGAGGCTCCCTGCGGAAGGGACCTGTTGTCCAGGCACACAGCTCTCGGGATCTGATGGGTGGCTGAAGGGCTCTGTGCCAGGTTGATGGGAAAGCCACAGAAGGGTTTTCAGCCAGGGGCCCATGATCCGATTCTTGCTGTGAAGGAACACGATGGCTGCACCGTTGGGAAAGGACGGGGCTGAGAGGACTCCAAGGGGATACTAGAGGCGGCTTCGTCCAGCCAGACGACGAAGAGAAGTGTGGACTCCAGGTGCATGGGAGGTGGAGCCGATGGGCTGGCTTTGGACTGGACCTGGGGCGAGAGTGAGGCTGGCTCCCTGTTTCTGGCCTGAGCCGTTGGTGGCTGTGACGCTGTGTACCAGGTCAGGGGAGGGGGTGTGGGAGCAGAGAGTGGGGTGCTGTCTCCCCCTGAGCTCCGGAACAGACCATGGAGCTGGGCACAGGCAGGGTGCTGTCCATGGGGGCCCCCAGGCTGGGCATGGACCTGGCAGAACCTGCAGAGGCTCCTGGGGGTGGGCAGAGTCCCGGGGTAGCTCCAATCTGGATACTTGGTTCACCCACGACTGGAGGGGTGGCCCATCGTGGTGGTTTGGGGCTGAAGGTCTTCAGGATGGTGAAAACTTCTTTAAGATGTGAAAAGTAAACACAGCTGGCTTCCCTTCCTCCACAAAGTCACCCAGATCCATAGGTTTGGGGCCCTCAGCAGTGGAAACTGTGGTGCCACGTGGCCTGGGTTAGCCCCGCGCCTGGACTTACCTTTGCAGGTTCCAGGGTCACCACGTGCTTCCTCCTGCTCCCCTGTGGTACTGCCTTGCCCCGCAGCCCCCCCACTCCCACCGCCTTTCAGAAATCTCAGGGAGTTTGCCAGGTGTGAGGAGACCCAGCTGGGACCCCGGCAGGGTGGCCCGAGAGGAGGGATCCCTCCAGGGCTGGGACAGCAGCCTGGTTATGGGACAGAGGAGGAAGAAGACACTCCCTGAAAAGACCTGTGTCTCCCTTGGCCAGTCCTCCTGACTCTACATCAGAAAGCCCTGGGCTCATCTGTCCTGGGCTGGTCCCTCGTGGACTGGTCCATCCTCAGCGACTGTGTGACCTGGGGCCATGTGCTGCATGTCTCTGAGCCCAGTCTCCTCATCAAGGGCAGCGCCTGGTCCAGGGGGATGCTCAGACCCATGTGTCTGGCTGGCGTCCCTTCCCTTGGGGTCTCCCACCCTCCAGCTTCTCTTCCTGCTGGACCCGTGGATCACGGTGGGACTCTGGGGTGCCTGGGGAGTGTCCAGGCCACTGTTCAGAGTGTCCACTCACCCAGCGAGCACCCCAACATCTTAGGACTCGGGGCCTGGCTGTTGGGATTGTGGGGATGGGGGCAGAGCCCACCTGCCCTGGTCTTGCCCTCCCCTGGATGGATGTGGGCCGGGGGTGGCTGCAGAGCCAAGAAAACTCATGCTGAAGCCCTTGGAGGCAGCCGGTCCAGCCTGGGGTGGGGTCCTTTCTGTGATGGGGCTGGGACTGGACCGGCCCTTCCATCTTCCATCCAGGGCCCCTGCCTCTTGGGCCGGCCGCCGCCTCCTCCATGCAGTGGCCTGGTGCTGGAGGGGGCGGCTCGGTAACCCTAGGCTACCCCCAGGCAGTGGGTTTAGGTGTAAACACAGCTGCCCCCAGGGTGACCGGTTGGGTCCAGGGGAGGGGGTCTGGGAGCAGGGAGTCTCCTCTGGAGAAGGCAGGGGAGGCCGGCTGCTCGCAGCCCTGACCTTCTGCCTGGACCCTCTCTTCTTGCTCTCCCAAGGCCTGGGCCAGCTTTGCCCTTCCTCGGGGGTGGGACCAGCCTGGGCATTTCCACTGATGCGATTTTGCAGGGAGGGGGACTCAGCCAAGCTCTCAGCCTCCTTCAACTGTGGGCTGCTCTCCCTGCACCCCTCACTACCCACGACCCCCTGCCCCTCGGCCTCCCCCAGAAAGTGCCCTGGAACTCCTTCATGTGCCACTGAAGTGAGTGGGGTTTTTGCTTCACCCAGAGGGCCTTCACAGAACCCAGACCTGGCGGTGTGTGACCCAGGATGGCAGAGCAGGGCCAGTGACCCGCCTGGCTGTGGGACCCTCCCCCGGGCCCCCCACATGGTTCCAGGGCTGCAGTGGGAGTGTGGGGAACTGTCCTGTCTGTTGAGAGTCTGGGTCCTGTCCAGGCCTGAGGCCTCGCCTTGTGGGAAGACTTAGGGACCTTGTATCCTGGCAGTGGACCGGGGGTGCCCCCAGGCCCCTGCCCCTCCTCACACGCCTTCTCCCTCCCTCCACAGCCATGTGCAGCTCCGGCCTCTGCTTTAACGGTGGCCACTGCGTGTCCGGCTCAGCCCAGCCGTGCCGCTGTCCCCCTGGCTTCCAGGGTCCTCGCTGTCAGCATGGTGAGTGGCGCCCCCTCTAGGTACTCCATGCGGGGGAGTCTCTGATGGTTGGGGGTGGGGGGTCTCCGGTGCCCTGACCCTGCTCCCTGCAGCCCCCCGAGGGTGTTGGAAGGAGGGGCAACGCTGCGACCCCCTTTCTCATGGATGCCTCTGCACCATCATCAGAGTCCTCCCCGTCCAATAGCGCCCTCTGTGGGTGGGGACAGTGGACGTGGAGACAAACAGGCATGAACCAGGGTCCTTGGGTCAGCTGGGAAGCGGTGCGTCCCAGGGGTCCCTGTGCCATACCCCCATCTTCCAGGGGCTCTTGTGTCCTTCGTGTCGACAGCTGGGGGTCATGGGGTCCTACCCTCACGCCTGCAGACTGGCGCCTGACCCACTGACAATCCAGCCCCCGACAATGTCCTGTGGGGATGCTGTGGGTGTGGATGGGCTTAAAGCAGGTAGTGGGGTGGGGGGCAAGGGAGATAGAAATTTTATAAAGAAGTACAGAAGAGTGCATGAAAAGTTGTCCAAAGAACCTGCAGACATCCTCCTAATTTCTTGGCGTGAGTCTCCTTGGTGGTCCTCTGCTTTGTTTGAGTTCTTACCCAACCATGTAGCTCGCGGGTCCTGCTGGAACAGGAACAGGGCATGGAGCTGCGGCCGCCATCGAAATGAAATGCTTGAGATTATTTCCGCTGCTTTGAACTTGCTTCTGCTGAGCAGTTGGGGGCCTCTTCCCCATAGATGCTGGGGCATATATCCTGTGACGCTCTATAAGGCTCTGGATGCCAGCAGGCAACCGGAGGGAAACCAGGAAACCGTGGGGGATCGGGGCCCCCATTTGTAGGGGGGACCTCCGGGCTCTTGCTGTTTCCTGTGCATTCACATGCATGTGCCTCCAAAGCGAGGCTGAAAGTGGGGGTCCTGGGGAGGTGCTGGGTTGAGTTCTGAGCCTGGCACTGGTGCCCGGGGTGCTGGCATTGTTGGAAAGTGTCGGGAGGCTCTGACTGCTCGTTGAATGCCCTCTGTAAGGCGGAAGGTCCTGCTTCCTAGGCTCTGGGTGCTGGAGGCCTGCTGTCCCGCCATGGCGTGAGGACCACTGTCTCCCCTTCAGGCGCTGGGGTCCTGCCACGTACCCTGGACCATCAGGGCTCCAAGCCTCAGTCAGGCCTCCACGTGGATTTAGAGCCTGAGCACCTCTGTGGGCTGGACAGAGGTGACTCCACCCCACGCCAGTGCAGGCTGGGGTCCAGGCTGGGGTGCAGGGACCCAGCTGCCATGCGTCACCTCTACTCAGGGTCTTTCTGATAGCTGCGGGTGGGTGTGGAGATGCTGGGCTGTGTGGTCAGGGCGAGAGGGACATCCGGCCTCGAGCTGCTGTGGAGCGGTCCCTGGGACTGGGCTTTGCCTTGACAGTCAGCAGCCCCGGAGTCCCTGCTGCCCAGGGAAGGCGGTGAGGAGGTGGCTTTGCAGTGTGGCCTGTCCTTGGCCCCGTCCTCAGGAAGCAGCCAGGACACCTGCCCCTCTGGCCCCGGGCCGGCGTTTCTCTAGCCCCCACCCCTTCCGCCATGCTTTCTGGGGCCATCAGTCCTCCCACCACTCCTGCCCTGGCACTCTTTCCGACGCCCAGCCCTAAACATCACTGATGGGTGCTCCCTTTGTCCTGAGCAGCACCCCCTTTCCTGTGAGACCTGACCCTTGGCCTCCTGGGTACCAGAGGGTGCATGGCTTGCAGGGGTGAGGTGGGTGGGGGCGACTCGTCATCCTGCAGGTGCTATGCAGCCAGCTGGGGGGCGCCTAGGGCAGTACCAGCTTCTGGGCTCCTGGTGGGGAGGGGGCTATGATCTCAGGCTCACATGCTTGCTGGTCTCTTGGAGTCTGGGCTCCAGGCTCGGCTTTGCCTCCAGAGCAGCCCTGCTCCTGTGCTCACTTGGCCTCTCGGGGTGGGGGCACCTTCCCGTCCCTTGCTACACTCTGCCTACGTCACTCCCTTGAGCCCTAGCCTCGTCTGCTCCGTGGAATAGGAATCTGGTGTCAGGGAGGTCCAGCTGCTGCTGGCCGCTCAGCAGAGCTGGGACTGGAGACCAGTCCAGCCCAGTGAGCACCTTGAACCTTCCAGCCATGCCATCTCTGGTCATGGTGCTTGCCCTTGGTGGGGGCAGAGCCTTGTTGAGAGCTGGTTGGGAGGAGAGGGCCGGATCCCCAGGACTCCACCTCCCAGGCCAGAGCATCACTAGGGGTGAGGGGGCTGGCCTGTGACAGCCCATGGCCCTCCAGTGTCGGGGGCCTTCCTGGGAGAATGGCCAGTTGTAGTAGACAAAGCTGGAGGGTGGTCCCTGGGCCTCTTCTTAGGATACCATCTCCTGGAAGAAATGTCTGGTGTGCAGAGCAGGTGTGCAGACCTGGTGTTCAGGATGTGGTGTAAGGGCTGAGTGTGCAGGGCTGGGTGGGCAGAGCTGGTGTGTAGGACTGGGCTGGTTTACAGGGCTGGGCTGGTGTTCAAGGCTGGTGTGCAGGGTCCGTGTGCAGAGCTGGATGTGCAGGGCTGGGCTGGTTTACAGGGCTGGGCTGGTGTACAAGGCTGGTGTTCAAGGCTGGTGTGCAGACCTGGTGTGCCGGGTCTGTGTGCAGAGCTGGGTGTGCAGGACTGGGCTGAGTGTACAGGGCAGGTGTGCAGACCTGGTGTGCAGGGTCAGTGTGCAGGGCTGGGTGTGCAGGACCGGGCTGGGTGTACTGGGCTGGAGTGCAGGGCCTTTGAGCAGGGTTGGTGTGCAGGGCTGGGTGTGTGCAGACCTGCTGTGAGGCCTGCGCCCCCCTGCAGGGCCACCCCGTCCCCTTCCGGCCCCTCCACGCTGGGTTTGGAGCTGGCTGACCTGAGACCTGGCACTGCTGGGCATGTTACTCACACCCCCAAATATAATTGATTCCAGTTTCAAAAATAAAAGCCATATTTTTTTCTGGTTTCCCAAATACTTTCATTTGAACAAAAGAGTAGGGGAGGGAGAAAGGATCTCTGCTGATGGTGGGGAGCAGGGGTGAGGAAGAGTCCTTCCCCCGCCTGGTGCCCCTCCCCTCACCTTGGGCCTGCCTGCCCACCTCTGCCCGCCACCCCCTCCCCTCCCTGGAAGACTTTCTGCAGGAGCCTCAGGAGCACAAAGGGAGCTTGTGCTGGAGGGGCCTGGAGCGGGGGATGGAGGCTGGGGCAGCACAGGCCCTCAGTGCAGTCCGGCCCAGGGCAGCTGTCTGTCCAGGATGGCTGGCTGTCCAGGCTGGGCATTTTGTCATCCCGATGTGCCTTGGGCCTCAGGGTAACGTGCCAGACTCCAGCTCCCCTCTCTGGTGGGGATGGAATGGGGGGATGTTTGTGCAGCTCCCAGTCATCAGTGCAGGGGAGGGGCAGAGTGCCTTGGCAGGGTGGTGGTGACCTTTTCTCCCCAGAGGTCTGGCCACTGAGGGACATAAGGGATGATGGGGGTGGGGGAAGGGTGGGGATGGCCCCTTGTCCTGGGGTCTCTGAACACAGGATGCCTGAGCTTTTGTGGGTGAGTGGTGCCCATGTGGCCTCTCTTTTGGGGTAGCCTGACATCAGGACGCCCCCCAGAACCACTGGCCTCCTTGCCCTGAAGACTGGCACCTTCGGGTACCCCAATCCTAAGTGGGATCCGAGGATCCTATCATAACATCCGTTCTATCAGCCCGACTAAGAACGGTTTCCACCCTCTGAAAATACAGCTTTGTCCTCCCTTGGCACCCAGAGTATAGCCGGGTGCGGCTTGGAGTGAGTGATGGCAGAGGCCCCTCCCCCCCATCCCCCAGATCTGCTGGGGATGGTCTTGTCATAGCCAACTGGCCTTGAATCTTTCAGGAAAAACAGGCAAAAATAGTACGCTTTGGAACACTGTTGTTCAGTCACTAAGTTGTGTCTGACTCTTTGTGACCCCCATGGACTGCAGCATACTAGATTCCTCTGTCCTTCACTGTCTCCCAGAGTTTGCTCAAACTCATGTCCATTGAGTCAGCAATGGCATCCAACCATCTCGTCCTCTTTTGTCCCCTTCTGCTCCTGCCTTCAATCTTTCCCAGCATCAGGGTCTTTTCCAATGAGTCGGCGCTTTAAATCAGGTGGCTAAAATATTGGAGTTTCAGCTTCAGTGTCAGTCCTTCCAATGAATATTCAGGGTTGATTTCCTTTAGGATTGACTGGCTTCATCTCCTTGTTGTCCAAGGGACTCTCAAGAGTCTTCTTCGGATTCGGAAGCATCGATTCTTCTGTTCTTGACCTTCTTTTTTTTTTTTTTGTTTTTATTTTTATTGGGCTTTAGGGGATGGGATGGGGAATACCTCTGTAAGTTATGTCCCACTAGGAAGATGTCCATTCTAACTTTCCTGGGATAGCTTTCGGAGCTTTTTCTTTTTCTTGGAGGCACTGCTCTTGCTGGCAGCAGCCTCTTCAGGTCCACTACTGAGTGGCTCCTCTTTGGACAATTTCCGCTTTTTCTTGGGGACCCTCTTGTTTTCTGACTCATCAGGGTCAGTAACTGTTTCCTCTTTGGGAAAAGATTTCTTCCTCTTGGGAAGACTTCCAGTACCAGCTGTCTCTTCAAGATCACTACTAACTAGCTCTTCCTTGGAAAAAGATTTCTTTTTTGGGGGTTTGGAAAAAGAGACAGATGGGTCTTCCATTCCATTCTCCTGAAGAGCCTCCTGGGGCTTTTGCTTTTTCTTCTTTTTGGGTCTTTCACTTGTCTCCTCACACTCCTCCGGGGCACTGCTATTTTCTGAAGAAGCCAGGGCAATTGCAGCCAGCCTTTTCTTTTCCTTCTTCAAGCGTTTCTTCTCCTGTTTCTCGAGCTTCCTAGTAATCTCAGCAGCCGCTTCCTCTGCCTGAACCATTGCCTCCTTCATGACATCCAGATTCTTTCGGGGAATGTCTCCAGTCTCATAGAAGGACAGCCACTCCTCAACTTGTTCTTGAAGCTTCTCTCCAAAAACACTGGTGGGCACCTCAGAGAAGC